AGCTAGGAAGTTAAGTCATTAAACATCTCTGCCTTTCCCTCCCATAATTAATGTCATCTAGTTAAGTTCCATACTAATAAAAATTTGTTCAATTAAAAAAAATTTTTAAATTGCTTGTTAGGATTTTTTTGCTTTTATAGTTAACAATAAATTTACTAACCATATTTTTCAATTTTTGTGCTCACCATGGCTTTCTGTATCCCACTCCTTTCTTAGGGGTTCAATTTCCTTCTTCCTGAAGAATATCCTTTAGTAGTTTTTTCAAAGTGAGGGTCTTTCAGTAATAAGTTTTCACCACAGTCTTTGAATACAAATGTCTTTCAGCTTTGAGTACATTTAGCAGGTCATGAAATTCTAGATTGAAAGGTTTTTTATTTTTTCCTCAGCACACTAATATTAATTTCTCCACTATCTTCTGGTATTGATGTTTGATATCTGTTAGAAATCTGCTAATAGTCAAATAGTTGTTCCTTCCCAGTATATTTATTATTTTTGTCCATTGGTGGCTTTTAAGGTTTTCTCTGTATCCCCACAGTTGCAGCATGATGTACTGAAGTATGGATTTATCTTTCTTTCTTCTGCATGGTGGTTGTAGCGTATTTTAAGCTGAGGATTTGGAACTTCCTTCTTGTGATACAGTTTCTCTATCATTCCCTCCATTTTCTTCTTGGGAAATTCTGTTAGACAGATGTTGGATATGCTCGCTCTATGCTCCAGGGCTCTTAATTGCTCCTTCACTTAAAAAAAAGACAACAACTGTCTTTTCATGCTGCATTCTGGGTGAAGATCTCATCACTATCTTCACTTTGTTAGTTCTCGTTCATCTATGTCCAATCTACAGTTATTTCTGTGTGCTATGTTTGGTTTCAATGATTATTTTTCCTTTCCAAGACTCTGAGTTAGTTGTCATAATCAACAGTCCTGTTTTCTTTTTGCCTGCTTCTGTTTCACCATTTTTTGCTCTTGCTCAATGGATGCTATCTCATCAATTATCTTTTTGAGTATCCAAAACATAATAAAGTGTTGGCCATGCTGTGTAATTCATCCGGAAAAAATGTACATATATCCCAATAGTTGGTTTTGCTGGTGATCTTTCTATTAGATTTTCTTTATGGATTTTAGCAATTTTAATTTATCAAAGAGTTCTAAACGGGAGCCTTTTCTTTGGGGATATGTGTCTTCTTCCCCTTCTTTACCTGTCTGTGCACACCCTTCCTTGTCTAGCACCTTTGCATTTGTTCTCCTAGCAACCCTGGGCCCAAATCTGGAAAAAATCTTATGATGACTTTCTGGAGCAGCTGTTTTGTGCGTATACGGGTTTATCACATATCTAGTCACTGAGCAAGCAAATGGATGCAAAGCTGTGTCTTTGTTATCCCTAAGCCCACAACTTCCTTTCAAACCATAGCCCTTGGCAGAAGATTGGCAATATATACTTTTTAAATTTTAGTTTCTTTTCAAAAATGGGTAAAGTTCTACCCCAGTCCCTGGCTTCAAGCACTGAATGTGGCTCTGGCCCCTTGTCCCACATGAAGCACATTTGGTCTCTGTTACTTGCGGCCAAACTCCTGAGTGCCACCTGCTTTGGATAGAGTTCAGCAGGCCAAGGCTTCAGTTTTGTCCACTTCTTGGCATTTCTGGTCCATGAAGATATTTATCTTGTTTCTGGAAGCCCAGCTTTCTCTTTTGGCTTTCTCTTTTTATATTTATCTGCCATTGCTATGTTTTTGGAGCAAAGGGAGTGAGTTGAGATATAAACTCAATGTGGCAGTTGGACTAGAAAATTTACACAATCCTGTAACCATTCTATTTGAACAAAATTTACTTCTTAAAGACGCATAAACAAAATTAACAGGGAACTTTTAAACATCTTATTTTTACCTAAGTGATAAACTGTAAAATATTATTTTCATAAATGCAAATTAAATCCTAACTTGAAGTTTTAAACCTCAGAGTAATGAAAATGCATTTGTTTTAAAATACACCTACAAAAGAGACTTAATGCAGAACCACCTCTTTCACCTCTGAAATCAAATTAGTTCTACTTGTGCAAGGAAGAAATGGGACTCTAGCTTTAACCAAAAGTAAAGTAAAAAACATTTCTATTCAACTTTACTTAAATGGCAATCAGCTAAGTAGAAATAAAATAGTCATGTCTTACTATGCTTAGTGAAAAAGAAAGATATATACCTTTTCACTTGTTAAAAATTTTGCAAAATATACATGCTCTCCTCCTGTTTTCAGTTCTTCCATCTTTTTCCTTGAGGCCTGAGTATCGTCTAACTTATAACTTTTAAAAACAGCCAAAACTTCCTCAGAATACTGCAAAATAAAAATAAAAGTATTAGTTTTACTTGACAATGTTGCTCAAAATTTTATTAGCATTCTATATCAAAATATCTAGAATTTACTCCCAGTAAATCAAATACATACATTAAACAAGGAAAATTATGATAGCAAAATGGGAGGTAAAATCTATTTTTGTATGAAATTTCTTTTTTTTTTCTGAGACAGAGCCTTAAGCTGTCC